GAGAGAGAGAGAGAGAGAGAGAGAGAGAGAGAGAGAGGCAGTCTAATAATATCAAATAATATAAAAAATGTCATTAATTGAAATTTAGTACATGGAACATGACCAGTTATTAGAGGATAAAGAGTCCTCAGAGTTAATTTCAGATGCTGCTATTAAAAACAAACCTCCACATAGCTTCCACATTTGCAATATCTATCTACAACTCATTATTAAATTAATTTTTCCATATTTTTTACTACAATTACCCCAGAAAACACAAAATATTACTGTTATATAACATAGACGTAACACGTATTCTTGTTACTTCTATGTTATATAGCGGTTATGTCTTTCTTTGTTAAGATTGTAATATTTCGACTATATTTAATACACATTTTTGTACATTTATTGAACATATTACATCAATTATTTCTATTTATTCTTTTTATCTATTAACCTAGACAGCACAAATATTTATAAAATATTTACAAAATATTTATAAGATTTATTTAAATATTTTATGAATATTTATCAAAATGTTTCATAAATATGTTTACAAAATATTTTTGTGACCTCAGATTCAATAGATGAAAAAAAATTTATATATCTCATAAATATTATAAAAATATTAAAATATATACATTTATATACATTTTTATTTTTTCCTGAATTTTTTTTTAAATTTCCATTTTATTATTTCACACGCTAATTAATTGAATTTAAATTGTACTTTGAAAATTTGCTTACCATTGCTGAGATTCGAATTTCTTATTTCTTTATTAATTTAATAATTTTAAATAATTACATTTTTTTCATATATAATATTTGTAAATAAATATATTTACAAAATATTACTACAAATATTTATTTTTCGTTTATTATAAATATTGTATAAAATATTTAATCTATATTTTAATAATATTTTCAATAAAGATTTTGATACTTTTTCCTTCATGTATATAAAATATTTATATTATATTTATATAATATTTTTAAAAAATGATTCGAAATAAATATTTATCATAAATATTGTGTGCTGTCTGAGAAACGCACTACTTTCTGCACACCAAAGAACCGTATTCGTACTTAAGGTTCCTGCACATTCGGAACTCAAGCTACAATTTTTCGGCAGCCGCTTGGATTGGGATGCTAAAAGTTGCAAGCAGTTGCACGATTCTGCTTGCAACTTAAATTAAATAACGGTCAAGATGTCTGCAGCTTGATGTGCACAATTGGATATACAGAACGATTAAATTATGTATCGGATGCATCGGGTTGTATCTGTTGCGAATAAAAGAACTCACCCTTTGCGATAAGGGAGTCGATTGTGTATCTCGAAACGAAGTGAAAATTACAAAAGTGAGTAAATTCACTAGGCATTCCCTTATAGAAATATCATACTAAGAATTATTAATAATTACTTATTTTCAGTATTAAAAATACTGGATAATAAGTAATTATCAATGATTCTTAGTATGATATTTCTATAAGGGTTGACCAATGAAGTTACAAATATTCTAGTAAATTTACTCACTTTTGTCATTTTCACTCTGTTTTGAGATACACAATTGACCCCAAGATCGCCGCTTGCTCGCTTCATGTGCTACGTTGTGCGGTCGCTTATCAATGATGAGATAAGAACAAAGCTATTGGACGTCTGTCCTTTTCTAACTTACTATCATCATATGAAAGTTCCACTGCGAAAGTGCGCCTGACGGACGTAGTTAGGCGCATTTTGGTTAGATGGCGTATCTAAATGCGCCTACCTCTGGACGCTGAAATCAGCCCGGTGGCCGCTCTCATGTTTCTCTCTGCTGATCAGTGTAGTATCTGATCAGTGATGCTCACGGGTTTGACGCTTGACGCTCTGACGCTTCCATGTAATGACACCTTTAAGCAGGGATAGCAAAGTAAAGTAACAATATAACGCATGAAAAACGTTAGTAATATCGAAAAAATCACTTGCAGTTCGAAAAATATGATGACTTCACAAGTGAATAAAAAGGAAGAAAACGTTACGTATGTAAAGTAATTGAAATTATAATTATTGTCGGTGTGTGTTCCACAGGATATCCGATAACTGTAATTTTACTGTTTATTCCTCACCTCTGATTTTTACGAAAAAAATATTCAATCGACACGTTTTTTAAAGGTAAACAACTTTTCTATTTGGAAAAATCGTTGTTCTCTACTGCGAAGTGAGATATTAATTGACAAAGTTGATCATTATTAGGTTAGGAAAACTGTCACACTGACGACAAACAGCGATATATATATGCTCTGTGGCCACATGCACATGCTCTGTGGCAATATGCATATGCACAGTGCGCGAATTTAAAATATACATGTATATACATGGGTTATGAAGCATTATTCAAACATTTGCATTATTTAAACATTTGCAAACGAATGGGGGATCCAGGGGGCGAAGCCCCCGGTCAAGGAGGGTTCGAGGAGGGCTTCGCCCTTTGCCCCCGGGTTGACAAAAATAACATTCTAAAAAAAAAGAAAAATGTATCTCGCAGAGAGAGAGTATTAAGCATGTTGTTTTTGCGTGCGATTTATACATCCTACCTTGCCTAGGGGTCTTGCTAATCTTTTCAATATTCATTTTAGTATATAGTAGTTATACATTTAGTAAGGCGAAGATTTAGTAGAACATTCTCCTTTGCATAGGGGTCTTGCTAATTTTTTCGTTATTAATGATTTTTATTATATTGTAGACTTATTTATTTAGTAAGACAAAGATTTAATAGATATATGCGTAGAAATGTAAGCAATATATTATAAATACCCAGATAGCAGAGAGAATTAAAAAAGAATTCAGTGGTATGTTACCAATTCTGAGTTCATTTTTGGGTGCGAGAAAAATTATTTTCACTAAACTCTGAAGAATTCTTTTTGCATCTGAAAATGAACTTAGAATTGGTCACATACGACTGAATTCTTTTTGAATATTTTTAGAATTCTCTGTGCTATAAGGATATATACATATCTCACACTTGTGTACTTTTGCATGTTGTCACACAGAATATATCTATTAAATCTTCGCTTTAACAAATAAGTCTACAATACAGTAAAAATCATAAATATCGAAAAGATTAGCAACCCATATAGCACAGAATTAAAAAAAATTCAGTCGTATGTCACCAATGCTGAATTTACTTTTAGATGCAAAAAGAATTCTTTTCACTGAACTGAACTCTGAACTTTTTTTTTGCATCTAAAAATAAACTCTGAATTGGTGACATATGACTGAATTTTTTATGAATTTTTTAAAAATTCTCTGTGCTATTTGGGAAGACCCCTACACAAACGAAAATGTTCTACTAAATCTTTGCTTTACTAAATGTATGAGTCGACTATATACTAAAATAAATACTGAAAAGATTAGCAAGACCCCTAGGCAAGATAGGACGTATAAATCACACGCAAAAACAACACATAATGTTGTTAACGTTAACAATTAACGCTCTCTCTATGCAAGATACTTTTTTTTTAGAATGTTATTTTTGTCAAACCGGGGGCAAAGCTCCCCTCGAACCACCTTGATCGGAGCTTTGCCCCCTGGACCCCCAATTCGTTTGCAAATGTTTAAATAATGCTCCGTTACGCATGTATATATAAGTATATTTTAAATTCGCGCACTGTTTGCAAATGCATATTACCACAGAGCATGTATGTGTGGCCACGGAGCGTATATACATGTCACTGTTTGTCGTCGGTGTGACAGTTTTCTCAATCTTAATAGTGATCAACTTTGTCAATTAATATCTCACTTTACAGTAGAGAGTAACGATTTTTCTAAATAGAAAAATTGTTTGCTTTTAAAAAACGCATATTCGTTGTTTGCCTTTAAAAAACGCGTCCATTGAATTTTTTCGTAAAAATCGAAAGTGAGGAGTGTAAACTGTATAATTATCCCGATAACTAAAATATTGAGTAATAATAACAATAACATGAAATAACAATATTTTTTATGAATAGATGATAGTATGTGTGCGTGTGTGTGTGTGTGTGTGTGTGTGGTATGTGTGTGTAGGATTGGGAAAGTTACTTTTTAAAAGTAATTAGTTACAGTTACAAATTACTGGCTATGAAAAGTAATTCATTACAGTTACAGGTACTCAAAAAGTAACGAGCCGTTACTTTTAAGTTACTTTCTTTAAATAATTATGAATTATTATTGTAAATTATTGTAATTTTAACAAAAATTTTAAATTTTAAGCTTTATTAAAATATAAGAATTTAATTTTATAATTAATATTTATCATTACTGTGAAGTGAAATATTAGTATATCCACTTAACAAATTTCCAAGATCTGTATTTAATATAATAAAAAATTAATAATCGTGAAGAGTTAAAAGAATATACATATATAGTATGAGGAAAAAGTATGGAAACCCAGAAAAATCTCAAAAAATATAAGTTTTACAGAAAAAATGTTTCAAATAAAAGTTGTAGGATTTAAAAAGGTCTATTCAATAGTCTCATCAGTTTGATCCTGACTGGCGTCGTTAAGGTGAAGTCAAAGTTCCCTTGAATTTTTTAAACGGAAAACCCCATATATTATTACATATTCTTATAGCTTATCTTGAGAGCTTTCCAAAACACTAATAAAATATTTTTTCGTTAAGAACTTTTCGAGTAATAACACTTGAAATTTCCACTTTGCATAGCATTTTGACATAGAATACAAAATATCTCGTAAAATATTCATCTTTCGATTATCTTGCTTTAATGCTTTTTTGCACAGAATAATGAGACAAATTAATTGACTTAAAAAAAAAAAACAATTTTTTACATAATATAAAAAAATTTTTTATGCTTTTTTTAAGCCAATTGATTTGTCTCATTATTCTGTGCAAAAAAGCATTAAGGCAAGATAATCGAAAGATTAATATTTTACGAGATATTTTGTATTCTATGTCAAAGTGCTGGAAACTAAATGTTATTACTCGAAAAGTTCTTAACGAAAAAATATGTTATTAGTGTTTTGGGAAGCTCTCGAGATAAGCTATAAGAATATGTAATAATATATGGGGTGTTCTATTTAAAAAATTCATTCGGTGACTTTGACTTCACCGTAACGACGCTAGCCAGGGTCAAACTGATGAGACTATTGAATAGACCTTTTTAAATCCTATAACTTTTATTTGAAACATTTTTCTGTAAAACTTATATTTTTTAAGATTTTTCAGGGTTTCCATACTTTTTCCTCACCTTGTACATATATTAAAACAGAGCCTATATAAGAGTTTAAGCACAGATGTTCTATCCAGGTAGAAAAACGTGTTCATTTTGAGCTCATATTGTACTTATACAGGGTGTTTTTTAATTTAAGACTGCAAAATATCTGGAAAAAATAAGCATTATACGAAAAAAATGTTCCAAATAAACCTCAATATTATCGAAGGGACAATACTATCCCGCAAAAGTTAGCCGCCTCCCGCTCCTGGAGGTTTGAAATCTTAAATGGGAACTTTTATTGCAGATTTGAATTCTACTCCTAAAAACACGTAAAAGACCCCGCACAAAACCTATGGAAAATGGTTTTCGGTCAAATTGGCTGAAATTTCACTATGTTATAGTTTTCGACATGCTGATAAAAAGTTATCATTGCACCAAGTCCCAAAAGTCAATATTTCCCAAGATATAAAGGGTCAAAGTAGTGAAATATGGTCATCCGCAATAATAAGATGTATGTTATAAGTATAAGTGATACATTGATATTTATTCACGAAATAAATAAAAATCGATTTTTACATATATATATATATATATATATATATAT